AACCTTCAACGGCCCCGATCACTTGGTCACAGTTGAGGGTCAGAGGCTCAGAGGAACTTTTGAGAAGCAGATGCACAATCTTCCCAGGCCTGATGAGATGGAAGAAAAGAAGGCAAAGAAACTCCCTCCCAAGACGTCGGCAGCCCGTCGAGAACCTCGGGCGGCGCCGAGTCCTAGTACGGCACGTGCTACCGGCAACTCTCCTCAGTCTACCACGTTCGCTCTAGGTCCGGAGGGTTTGCCGCTGATCCGTCGTGACTCTGCTGCTAACGCAGATGGTCGTCCAAAACGCTCCATCCACCCTCCCAAGCGTGATCTTCCCTACGCTGCAAAGCCAAAGAAGAAGAAGTATCAATGGGAGCTGCGCTTCTGCACCGAAGTATGCGAGGAAATGTATAAGCCGAAGCATTTCAACTACGCGGCGCCTTTCTACTATCCTGTTGACCCCGTCGCCCTTAACATCCCTACCTACCACAGCATCATCAAGAAACCGATGGATCTATCTACTGTACAGACCAAACTGAAGGCTGGCCAATACGAAAATGCCAGGGAATTCGAATTAGACATGCGCTTGATCTTCAAGAACTGTTTCAAGTTCAATATCCCCGGCGATCCCACATATGTTGCCGGCCAGCGTCTGGAAGAGATCTTCAACCAGAAATGGGCCCAAAAGACCCGGTATCTTGAAACCCACGAACCTCACCCCGAGCACCAGAGCGCTGCAGAGTCTTCCGAGGACGAGAGTGAAGAAGAGGCAGAGGAAAGTGATTATGATGCTGAAAAACTCAGTTTGCTACAGAAGCAGATGGAAGAGATGTCTCGTCAGATTGAGGCCATTACTCAGAAAAAGAAGAAGACTCCTCCTGGTTCCAAGAAAATCAGCAAGTCGAAGCCTCCCATGAAGAAGGAGGTCAAGAAGCCTGGAAGCGTAAGCTCGAGCAATGTCAAAAAGGACAAGAAGATCAGCACCAAGAGTACCAAGCCCGAGAAGCAGCGCTGGGTCACCTACCAGGAAAAGCAGATTATCTCCAATGGAATCAGTAGTCTTCCCGACAAGAAGATGCAGGAAGCGCTCAAGATTATTCAGAGCAACGTTCCGGCTCTTAAGGTATGCTATTTCCCCCTTCACCGTAAAGACGGGCCGTGGAACTAACACTTTGAAAAGGGTACACAAGAGACAGAGATCGAGCTTGATATCGATGAGCTTCCCAACGAGGTTCTTGTGCTCCTGCTTCGTTTTGTCAAGAAGAACGCGCCTCATGTGATGGAGGATGAGGAAGTTGCGACTCCCACTGCGGCGACTTCTACTACAACTGCTGCTCCCAAGCCGAAAAAGAACAAACCCATGAGCAAGTATGAGCAGGAGGCGCAGATAAACATGCTTGAAAGCAACTTGTCGCGCTTCTCGCAGGGAGGCGGTGGCCGCTCACCCGACCCTGTCCCCTCTGTCGAGGCCAACGAGAGTAGTGATGATTCGGAAGATGATTCTGAGGAGAGCGAGGAGGAGTAAGTGCCTGCCAGGTAGGAAGCCTACCATTTATCTGCCATGGAGCTTTAGCCGACGGTGGCGTTTGCTCCTGCCACTTGAAGCCATTGCTAGTCTCATCTCTCAGGATCGCACACCCTTTACTCTTGTTTGTCTTTTTTTGCCGTGTTCTCCATACAATAATGAGCTACCGTTCGTTTCCTAAGTCATTTCTCTTTTTTTCCCTAGCGACCGACCCCTTTGACATCTGGAGGATGGTTCGATTTGTTCCTCGGACTCTCCAAAACTGTACATAAGGCGAGGCTGGGGGATCCGTCGGGTGATCCGGATAATTGTCGACCTCACAGCGTGACAATATTGGAAGATTGAGTTTGCTTTCATTGGACAGTCGTCGGTTTAGCCTTGAGCTGGCGAAACGACCAGTTTTCAGGCATCGGTGATTGGACTCAGTGAGCAAAGCGTGGTGGGAGTGGTGAGGGTCTGTGTATGATTACGAAAGAAACGTGAAAACGGAAGCGATTGCGAAGCATTACTTGTGCTATACAGGCCACGTTGGTCTCCAAATGAACATCTTCTCCATTCGTAATTGTATGGAACTGTCTGGGGTAACCTTCGACCTGCCCTCTGTTCGAAGGAGATGAAGGCCTCGTTGCCTGGCACAGGGCGGTGAGCCGCTCAACGTCGCCGCCGAGGTTAAACTACTACGTCTCCGTACCCCGACAAGAAAGAGCAAAGGCAAAGTAAACATCCTCTTCACAAATCCGTCCCCGCAATCGCTACCCCAACAATGATTCCGCCCTGCGATCCAGCCATTCTTGAGAACAATCCCCAGTTCAGACATCTTTATGAACAAGTGACTACAAAGTTTCTCAACCAGGATGGTTCGACGCGCGCCAATGATGCACAGCCGGCAAGAAAGGCACTTTTGGAAGTATGTCAGCGTGGTAGTCCGCGATAGCCTTACCAGCTGTTCCTCTAAACATGGCCTTCATGCTGCGAACTAGGAATTGAACGACTGTCGCATCCGCGATGCGAGGAAGAAGATCACAAGGCAGGCATTGCGACGATTGGCGTTTGACCCCGATAGCGAGCTTCCCGACGAGGTAAGGGAGCGGATACCCCTAAGCATGCCGCTGGCTGCGTGTTGCCATCAGGCGCCAACTGACATGCAACTGTGGATACTCGTTGCTCGAACAAGTGTCGAGACCCCGCAGCCATCGTATACCTCTACCTCGAATCTCGCCCCGATGTGATCAATCTTCCTGCGGACCACGACGATCAACCCGACACCGACACCCTCCAACTCCTCACTCCAGACATCGACCTATTCTACTCCAGCCTCCCCGACCTTGCTGAGCCTCTTTCCCGCATATTGCTGGCCGATCTCGATGATCTACGCGCAATCACAGACGCAGGAACCGACTCAGATGCATCGGCCGCCGCCGGTCCTCGTACCCGCGCCCGCACGCGCCAGACAACCACCGGCAGCAGAAGAACCGCAGCGCAGCAGATCACTCTCTCCTCGCGGCTGGACAAGCGCATCCAGGCCCTGCGCAATATACAACTGAGCGAATTACCCGCAGCGCGGACCCGCATGGCTGCGACAGCTGCCGAAGTTCTGGCGACGCGGGCCGCGGTGCTAGAACGGACGGTGATGCTTCTGGAACGGGCGAAACATGGGGCATTCGCGCGGGCCACGAAGGCCAAGGCAGAGCATTTGGCCACGGTCGCGCAGGGGCTGGAAGGCAGGCTCAGGTATGGTCATTCTGTTCTCTCCTTCTGTTTCCCCCTTCCCATGAGGGCTCGATTGATGCCTCTGGAGGAAATGGAGGCCGTGGCTGACTGTCAACTTGCTCTGATATATTAGTGTTATGAAGCTGGAGATTTCGGCCTCGATCCATACCCCGGTGGTTGTTGCGGCGCTTGGTCGGTACTGGGATCATCTTGAGGATACGCGGGAGCGTCTGGAAGAGAGGCGTACGGAAGCATTGGAGGAGTTGAGAGCGTATGGTCTTGTGGCAGAGGAAGGATCCGATCGAGAGGAGGGCGCGTCTGAAGATACAATGCGCTCCGAGCCCGAAACCATGCAAGAGGTTTACTGTCGATACTGGACCCTGATTCGAGAGGTGGAGAAGGTGAGAGGCGAGGCACAGCAGATGGGCGAGTTGCGATAAAGTGATGCTTGATGATAGTTTGACATGATACCCTATTTCATATGAAATGCCAATGCTACGTATGCCAGTCTCATCTTTTGTCTGGGAAGATGTCAACGGTAGTCTATTAGTGATACTCAGGTACACTGAGTGGTCCCCGGTGATGGCCGCTGTACTGTACCTGACGATAACCAATCAGCCACCCCGCAATCAATCAATCACCTGACTCGGTCCGGTCCCGCCAAAAGTTTTCCCTTTGCGATAAACTACTAGTACTCAGTCCAACCAAATAACTTTAATCTCCAATCTGAACGATTTCACCCCCTTTCCCCCAGAGAATTTATACCAGTCCAAACACAACCCCAACCCACTCACAACTTCTGTCCAAACAACTTCCAAATCGAAATGGCCGACGACGCGATCTCCATCTACGACGAAATTGAAATCGAAGACATGACCTTCGACCCCAACCTGCAGATCTACCACTACCCGTGCCCGTGTGGCGACCGGTTCGAGATCGCGATCGACGACCTCCGCGACGGCGAGGACATCGCCGTCTGTCCTAGCTGCAGTCTGATGATCCGGGTGATTTTCGACGAGGTGAGTTTTTTTGTTTGTGGGCTTGTGGGCTTGTGGGCTTGCGGACTTATGGCTAATTTGTATTCTTCTCTCCATGCAGGCTGATCTCGTTAAGGATGACGATAAGAACGGATCCGCTGGCGCGGTTGCTGTTCAGGCTTGAAGTTTTCCGGGGGGGAAAAGTAATACCATCAGCGGAATTAAGGCTTGCTTGGGCCTTCGTTTTCTTCCTTTTCTAGTGGACTGCGATTGATTTCGAGTCGAGATTCAGGAAGGAGGGGGGTTTGGGCTGCGTGGGATGGAATGGGTTTGTCGGTCTCAGGTTCCGTGAATCATATGGGCTTGAGTTTGATGCTGAGGTGGTGCGTGAGGAGATCGGGGTATGGTCATATCTGAACCGAGCGTCGTTAGCCGTGCAGGGCTTGTACTCGCTCGGTTGCTCTGGGGATGGGATGGATGGGCTCAGCTGCCACCCATGACTGTGGGCAGTCCCGACTGGGTTGGATCCACCACATCTTTGACCCGTTCCAGCGTGGACACTCATTGACCTACGCACCGCGGGTCGCCAGACCCAGTCGCAAGCACTGGGTGGCGCGATGCTGAACTACCCTCTCGTCCTGTGCAAACCTCTCAACCGCAAGTTGGTCGCGACAAGCCAATCAGATGCCATTCACTGGCTTGGAGAGCAAGTACCTAGCATACACTTAGAAGCCTACAGACCTGCGCAGCAAGCTGACCAACCCAACCCATCTCGAACCGTATATAAATTGGTCTAGCGGTTCCTTGACAGTCGCAATCACAAAAAGCAAAAGTCTCCAGAAATTCTCCCTAGCGCAGTCAATAATTTACATGACTCCTTTCTTATAGTCACAAAACACCACCCCGTAAAATCATTCCTTCAGAGCCACGAACAATCCGTATATTCCCGATAGTACAACCGTTCCCCTAATCCAACTCACTGTAGATATCCTTCGGCAGGTTCAAGGTCAATTCATGGTTCAACAGATCGGTCAGATTCGTGCCATCACGCAGATAGATCCACTGCCCATTGGCGAACGGCCGGGAGTCCTGCTTCTCATGCATCTGGTCGCCCTCGAGCACCCAATCGAACCGCTTGGGGCCGGAGATGGGCGAACTCAGCCAGATCTGCTTGTTGGGGGGCTGCTTGTTGAGCACGTATACACCGACTCCGGGGACGGTGACGTTCATGACTCCGGCCTAGCCCGACACATACACAGGCAGAATGTTAGCTTCGAAGCGTGGCTGGTGGCAGCGGTATAGGGTGCGGGACAGGGCCACAACGCACACTATATTCGGCCTCAATCTCCGAGCCCTCCTCCTGACGAGATTCCACCTCCTCGAGAACGGTGTTCAGGTAGTGCTCGGCGTAGTCATGGTACTGCCCATCGGTCAATGGGGACGGCTCCGAGACGTGGGCGGCGGCGCCGGCGACATTGTGCGATTGCGGGTTCGGGGCCGCGGGGTCGGCGGAGTCCGGGAAGATGCCTTTGCGGGTGGAGGGGGTGGAGTGGAAGCTTCTTTGCGGAAGAAGGAATCGAGATGTGGAAGTGGAAGCTGGGGGTTGCGAGGAAAGGGAAGCAACTGCTGCTGCTGCTGGGGCGAGGTGAGCACCGGCGCCGGTGCGGAGAGCTGGACGAGCGACGGCGGCCACGATGGCCCGGGAGGCTCGAGAGTACATGATTGATGATGGTTTAGTTGGTTTGGATTGGATTGTCTTTGAGTGGGAATTACTAGCCGGAAAAGCAAGACGGACGAGACACGAAATGAGCAAGAGGATTGAAGTGCAGTGCAAAAGAGAGCACTACCGATTAAGAATGGAGAATGGAGAATGGAGAATGGCGAATGGAGAAATGGAAAGAATGGGGGGAAAAGCGGAGATGATTTCATCAATGATCACAGCATAAGGCGGCATAAGGTAAGCTGCCTCGCTCGCTGATTGGATTGGTCGGACGGCAGAAGCTCCATTCCCGTTGCTACCAGCCAAACACTATGACTTCGTTTACTTGTTCCTACTTCTACTTCGCACTTATGGATGTTGCCTGCTACCACACTCTGTTGAGTCTTCGCACACACTCTCTTATCCTGGATGAGACAGTTCCCCATATCATGCTGGCCGTGTTGCTCAGCTCCCCCAAATTTCCTCCAATCTCTCGATCTACAATGTCGGTTCATCAATAGCGATCACCACCCGGCACACCGATACTAGATGTCCGCCTCCCGGCCCACCTGGAGGTATATCACCTCAAGGGTCGCACTCAATCATTGTCCTTCCCGGCATTACGCTCGCCATGAAGCGAAGGCTGTCATTGTCAGCCAACGGAAGCTTAGCTTGAACCAAGCTTACCGCAAAAAGCATATGCTCGTGATACCTGTGTATGAAGGCAGCGCTCTCCAGCAATGGGTGACGGCGTACGCCACCTTTGGCAACTATCTGCCAGGCGGGGTTCTGGGGCCTCGCAATCTCCGCCCGCCCGGTACTCTGCATCTGACCGTGGGGATGATGACCCTTGACACCAAATCACGCGTCAAAGCAGCCTGTCGATTCCTCGAGTCTCTCGATCTCGACGCCATTAGGCGCCTGGCGGATCAAGAGGCCTTCCGACAACACGTCGGGTATATCCCCGCCGAGCCCTCGCAGCAAGACAAGCCTTGGGCATCATCCCCAGGTACCCGGCCCCGACCACTCACGGTCTCCTTCGAGAGCCTGGTGGGCTTCCCTTCGCCCGATGCAGCCCGTCACCTCTGCACGGTTCCCGTCGATCCCACTCTCCGCCTTCACTACTTCTTGATCTATCTCCGCCGGAGCTTCCACCAAGCCGGCTTCTTCTGGGACGACCACAGCGACGAGGACGAGATCTCGGCCTACCGGCTGGAAGATGATCGGTCCCCTGCCGAGCCGTCGAGTGACGGGGAGCTGGCTGCGGATTCCGCAGCAGCGGACCTGGTGGAAATTGGCTCGGATTCATCCTCCTCCTCCTCCTCCTCCTCCTCCTCCTCCTCCTCC